GAATTCCGTGAAGTTAATGGACGGAATGGCTATTTCTGTGTATTTTTCAGAATCTGGCTATATTTGTCACAAAGTGCAAAGTTATGGCTATGGAAATGTATTTGGCCTTGTATCTAAAAGGCCAGCTTATCAATTAAAAGCTTTTGGGAAGACGTTAAAACACCAAATAGTGGTACTCTGAACTTGCTTCAAATCTACCTTTGGAGGGAAGAAGTGATATATATGTAGAACATCAAATCTCGAGAGAAATTGGGCTAAAGAGCGTGGGGAAACAAGATAATGGGTACTTTTTGGCACATCATGAGAGGGATTTGGGCAAATAGATTTTGATAATGACCTTTCCTTGTTCACTTTCTTCAACAACCATCTTATCGATTAGCTAAAATGACAATGCGGGAGGCTTTTCCAGCAAACCAGAGCTCAGCAATAAATTAAGGTATATCTTTTTGAAATTTACAGCAATCGCTTAACAAAAGAGTTATAGTTTGGTGGTGTAGATGTTGTGTTAAATTTAGTTAATTGCGGTTTAACCCTCGGGTACTGTCGGTAGGAGGGGATCCCACTGTTTCGGAAGTGATTAGTTTGGAGGGCGGGTGTTGGGCGGAGGAGAAGCTTTCTCAGTGGTTTGACCCGGATACGTGCACTGCAATCCGAGCTATTCCCTTGCCGAGGCAGGATTTAGAGGATAAGCTGATCTGGCATTCCACGGCTGATGGCTTATTCACTGTCAAGTCGGCATACCATTTAGCAGTTTCAATTGAGAGAAGTAATGGGCGTTGGCGCCAGTTGGCAAGCTGGATGGATAAGCCTAGCTGGATCCGCCTGTGGGAAGCCAATCTCCCTCCTAAGTTGAAGGTCTTCTGCTGGCAAATTTTTAACAGAGTCCTCCCGACTACTGAAGCTCTTCGGGAGAAAGGGGTGGAGGTTCTCCCTCGATGTCCGGTCTGCTGGGCGGAATCTGAGACCATGGAACATTTGTTTCTGGATTGTCCAGTGGCGCGTGCGCTTTGGGATTTAGCGGGTTTGGAATATCTTGGCCAGGGGTTACCTAGGGAGACGTTTCCTTTTTTCCTCAAGAAATTGATGTCTTTAGTTCACCATGCTCCCATGTTTATGAAAGTTGTGGCTGTCCTTTGGAGGATTTGGCGATCTCGAAACTGGGTAGTCTTTGAGGGCAAACAGTTCGGGATCTCGTCCTTAATGCGACAGCTTAACCAGCAGTATGAGGAATGGGTTAGCCTGCCTGTCGATCGTTCCCAGTCATTCGTGGCTCCTCTGTCGGGACCGCGTTCGCCGGAGTCCAGTGGGAGAGCCTCGTGTAGATGGGATGGGGCGACGCGAGCTGGTTCTCATTCGGGGGGGGATGGTGCTGGTCGATGCTAATGGTAGTGTGCTCTTGGCAGCTGGATTTCAGATCCCTCATATTGATAGTCCTCAAATTGTGGAATTGTTGGTGCTGCGTGAGGCCGTTAGGTGGTGCATGAATTTGGGATTTACGGAAGTGCGGTTTGAAGGCGACGCCAAGGTCATTATTGATAAACTGAATAGGGCGGATGCGAATGATAGCCAGATGGGAGTGATTCTTCAAGAAGTTATAAATCTTTTAGCTGTCCATCCTGGTTTTTGTGTACGGTTTATAGGTCGGAGTAACAATAGGGTAGCCCACTTGGTGGCTAGGAAAGCCCTGTCTTTGTACCCGGCTACATGCCGTTTCTTTGATTTTCAGGCCTGGCTGTCTCCCAGGATGTAACTATCGTTGTTTGATCTAATGGATTATCTTTTGTCAAAAAAAAAAAAAAAAAAATTTACAGCAATCGCAAATGTGATTTACTTACGAGTAGCTTCACATTTTGGAAAAGAAAAACTAGCAATGTTTGAGAAAGCATGAAAACCCAATGATTAAGTGTTCAAAAAGTTCGGCAGCTGTTGTTAGGGTTACCAATTATTCGATTCACACTACCGAACTGATGTGAAGATTTGAGATTGTTTGATTTCGAATTTCAAAATGCCATCGCTTTTCATAACTAGTATTGTTGGCAAACCAATTAGTCTCATTAATTCAACTTGTTTGAAGTCTACGTACAAATTTTCGGGCCGTTTGGATGCGTTATTTTGGTTTTGTGGTATTTCGAATCAAACTTCTGTATTATTTGGCTATGTGACATTTCATTTGATATTTCAGTTTGGAATGTGATAATTTGGTCAATTGTCTTGTTTGGATAACACATTCAAGAATTTTGTTATTTCACCACTTAGAGAAGGATGGAGTGGAAAAGAGGTTGAGATATGAGTTATTTGAAATAACTAGGGGTGGATAGGTATTTCAAATAACTCACAATGAGTTATTTTAATTGCCTCGTGGACAAAATGCCAAATTCCATTTTATTTTTGTTGAACGAGTTATAAGTCTTTTGGATTGAGTATTGGATTGAGTATTTGGATGGGATGTGTCATTTGAATGTGGTGTTTTACCAAATAACATGTTTTAGACCATATAACACAAAAAATGTTTTTTGCCAAATATTCGGGAGGGACGGGTATTTGCCAAATAACAGGTTTGAGACCAAATAACAAATTTTATATTATGTGGCATTTGTGTGGTAATTGACCTCATGTAACAAGTTTACCAAATACTCAATCCAAACGACCCTTTTATCAATTTCCTTAGACGTCCCTCAAAAGTGAGTCATTCATGGGTCGTGAGGATTTGAACAAGTGACCTGAAGGACAAACCAACTCTGATATGATATCATAAGCCAATTGGTCCAAATAATTCGAGTTGTTGTGACGAACAAGGGCTTGGTCAAGTGGTAATACCACTAGCCTAGAACCGGGAGGTCCCAGGTTCAAATCCCCTTAAGTAGTACCTTAATTACAAACAAGAAACCTATATCACCCATATAAAAAAAACTACAATATGGAGGAGTGGGTAAAAAAAATATCTACATCTACACTTCCTTACATGTCATAAACCACATTGTCTCATAACTCGAGTCATTGTGAGAGACTCATATATAGTACTTAACCACTTCCTTACAACCCTAAAAAACCAACTCATGAGCTTGAATTTTACACATGCTCATCATACCATGTGTTTTTTAGGCAACGATTCATAATGGGGGTCGTGATGACTTGAACACACAACCTAATGATCAAACCAACTCTGATACCATGTCATAAACCAACTGGTTCCAATAAATCAATTGTTGGGAGAGGTCCATGTATGGATATTATCTACTTCCTTACACCCTCTCAAATGAAAGCCAACTTGTGAGCTTCAAGTTTGCATATGTCTCCCATTACTTTAAGTCAACTATGAATGCTGAGGGTCGTGAGGACTTGAACACATGACATCAAGGACAAACCAACTTGATACCATGTCATAAGCAGTTTTGGTCACGATAACTCGACTTGTTGAGCGAAGTCAATATATAGATCTTATGCAGTTCCTTATAATATGATTTGATAGGGGTACAACTGGTTTATGTCAGTTTCATAAAATATGTAGAAATGTGAAAAATCATTACTATCAAATGAATTTAAGAATATATAAAAAATATATAAATAAAATATACTTACAATCTACGTTCGTATTTAAATAAAAATACATCATTCTAAACAAAATAACAAATACTCATATTTAAATACAACATTTAACGTCAACACCAAAAAGTTTGTACTTGAATCAAACACATAATATCAACATTTAACTTTGAAAATAAAGCAATAAATCACAAATAAATGTTTTAACTAAATTCAATAAAATAACATCATTTTATTTAGGTTAATACTTTATTTTGGCCTGAATTATACCCAAATAGTCAATTTTGGTAAGTGATTTCATAAATTGCTATCATGACCTCAATTATATACCATATACACTAACTTGACCTGAATCGTGAATTTTCTTCAAATTAGACGGTCAATATTGTTGACCGTTAGTGAATTAGCATGCTTCGTTGATGTTGATGCCATGCAGACATTAAAAATTAATAAAATATCAAATAAAATTAATAAAAATATCAAATATATTAATAAAAATAATTTATCTTATACTTTCAAAATTATTGGAAATAAATAAATTAATTAAAAAAACATATGGTCATCCCAACCCACGCAGCTGTCGCAACCATCGTATGCTTTTCCCGCCTCATTCTCCGAGTCCGATTTTGCTACCATCGACGCCTTCTCTTTCTTCTTCTTCTTCTCTTCCTCCTTGCCCTATCGCGCCATATCCATCGGCGAGAGAAGGAAGAGGTTGTAGCTGAACAAGATAACCAATGCAAGAGGGTGTATGGAGTAAAAATTAAAAAAAAATTACCATATTTATTATCTTATTACATAAAGAAAATAATTTGAATTTTTTTAATTTTGGTTTGGACATGACAGTGAGCTAGACTGTTTACTGTTAGTCAATAGGGTTGACCGTCTAATTTGATAAAAATTCACGAGTCAGGCCAAGTTAGTTTATATAATATAGTGTCTAGTTGAGGCCAAAATAACAATTTCTGAAATCATTGCCCAAAATTGATTATTTGAGTATAATTCGAGTCAAAATAACTCAATGTTCTTCTTCTTTAATTCTCTCTTAATCCATAAAAAAAATCCGAGACGAATACGATGATATGATTTTATGTTAGGTTTTGACTACTAGTCGGACAGGATTTGGGCCGCTTATTGCAAAAGCCCACTGGATAAAGTGTCAAACAAATGAGACCCAAAAGGCAAAAGGTTTATAAAAATTCCGTTGCCGGGACTTGAACCCGGGTCTTTCGGGTGAGAGCCGAATATCCTGACCAACTAGACTACAACGGATTTTTGTTAATTATTAAGTTCGCCAAAATATGAAAACGCACGAATGTTGTGGAACCTATTTCTCCGGCAAAAGTTGCAGGCTTGCAGCGGTATCAACTGACGAAACACTCTGAAGAGGGAAGTGCTAGAAACTAAACCCGCTGAAGCAAACGGGAACAGCGGAACTTCTCAGTCCTCCACCCAATGGCGGCTTTCAAGCACATCGCAATTTGGCGTCTGCACACCGTCGCCGAGACTCAATTACCCCTTCCTCCGTCTCGCCTCCGCCGGTTCGCCCGCCGACGAGAAAGCTCTCCAAGGTATCCACCATCACCTGCTCCTCCAGCAAATGGGCCGAGCGCCTCCTCGGCGACTTCCAGTTCTTCACCACCTCCGCTGACGCTTCTTCCGAGCTCCAACGACAACAACTCTCCCTCTCTTCCTCCATCACCACCGCCACTCTCCCTCCTCCACCTGTCCCTCGTCCCCCGCCGCCGCCGCCTCTCGCTCCTCCCGAGCGCTACGTCTCCATTCCTCTCGATTTCTACAAGGTAAAACGAGAAATGCAGTTCCAATTTCCGTTTTTTCAGTAATTGATTTCGCTCTTCTCTTTCGAATATGTTTCTGATTGTCTGGCAATGGAATTGTTCGTTGTTGGCTGCTGAAAAGGTTCTGGGAGCTGAGACGCATTTCCTCGGAGATGGAATCAGGAGAGCGTACGAAGCTAGGGTATCCAAACCGCCTGCCTATGGATTCAGTCAAGAAGCTTTGATCAGCCGTAGACAGATTCTGCAAGCAGCCTGCGAGACTCTTGCCAATTTCAATTCCAGGAGAGAATACAATCACGGCCTCATTGATGACGAGGAGGACACAGTGCTTACTCAGGTCCCTTGGGACAATGTACTTATCTATCTCAACTGCTTCTATATCCTTACTGGTTAATCGTAATTCAGAAGAGAACGGACACAGGTTTGGGCTGAATTTTATCCATTGGTTTGTTTATAGGTTCCTGGAGCTCTCTGTGTGCTGCAAGAAGCAGGGGACACCGAGCTGGTTTTAGAAATTGGAGAGACTATGCTTAAGGAAAGATTGGCCAAGCAGTTCAAACAAGATGTGGTGTTGGTAATCGCTCTTGCTTACGTCGATATGTCGAGGAATGCCATGGCGTTCAACCCACCTGACTTCATTAGGGGGTGTGATATGCTAGAAAAGGCCTTGAAGCTCTTGCAGGTACTGCTTATTACCATTTTCTTGTTCTTAATTTAGGAAGATTTTATTTTGGCTCAATTAGTTTCTCTTTGGTTTAATTACTCAGGTTGTTAGGCAGTAATTAGTAAATACTATCATTCTGTACTAAAATGGTTGAGAAACAATTGAGTGATCTGGAAATTACTTTCTAATGTACTAAAATTTTGGAGGCATCAAGTCTAGGCCGAGGCAAGTGGTCGTAACTCTTGATGATGACCACATGTCTTGTTACTTAGGAGGAAGGTGCAAGCAGCCTTGCCCCTGATTTACAGGCACAGATAGATGAGACGCTGGAGGAGATCACCCCTCGTTATGTTCTAGAATTTCTAGCCTTGCCCCTTGAGGATGAATTCCGGACGAAAAGAGAAGAGGGTCTCCAAGGAGTGCGCAACATATTGTGGGCCGTTGGAGGAGGTGGAGCATCGCCACTTTACAGTGGGTTCACTCGTGAAGATTTCATGAAAGAAGCCTTCTTGCACATGACATCTTCTGAGCAGGTTGATCTATTTGTAGCCACGCCACCGAACATTCCACCTCAGAATTTCGAAGTGCACGGAGTTGCCCTCGCACTAGTTTCCCAAGCTTTCATGGGTAAAAAGCCTCAGCATGTACCATGTGCTGATAATCTATTCGAGCAACTCCAACAGTCCACTCATTCAAACACTCTAAAAGAACGTGAGATGGAGTTTTCACTAGGAAGAGGTCTCTGCTCGCTGCTTTTAGGGGAGTTGGATGACTGTCATGCATGGCTAGGTTTAGACCAGGCTGACTCACGTTACAGAAACCCAGCGGTTGTAGAATTTGTGCAGGAGAACTCAAATCATGATGATGTAGACTATCTTCGCGGGCTTTGTAAGCTGTTGGAGACCTGGTTAACAGATGTGGTTTTTCCCAGGTTCAGAGATACCAAAGATGTAGAGTTCAGGCTTAATGACTACTATGATGATCCTACTGTCTTGGCCTACTTAGAAAGCAGGGAGGGTGCTGGTCGATCGCCCCTTGCTGCCGCTACTGCTATAGTGAGGATAGGTGCTGAGGCATTGCAGAAGGTTTTTCCTTTGGGCAGCCAAGAAAGCGAAGAGTTCCTTGAAAAGATTGTCAATGATAACATTGTCACTGTAGTGACAGAATCGGTTGGTGAAAAGTTGAAGGATGTTAGTGTGAAGGCCATGTGTGCTGGAGTGGCGATTGGACTGTTGGCTTTAGTAGGATTGAAGGGTATGCCTCCTAGAGATCGGTTCTCTGGCCAAGGAAAGATAGACCTAGCAACGGCTTCTTCTAATGTCACTTCTGGTAAGACCTCTAATGATATGTTTACAGAATAGCTGGACTATAACATTTTGTTGTCTGCTGGATTCTGTCTTATATAAGATTCATTTAATTGGCAATGGTTTTAAGAAGTAGACAGCAACACGGAAGAATTGTCAAAACAGCACGCAAGTTTAGCAGAAGGTGTAGTCCGGAAATGGCAGAATGTCAAGTCTCAGGCTTTTGGACCTGATCACTGTTTGGGAAAATTGACAGAGGTAAGAAAGTCTAATTCTCTTGCTTCGCCTCCATTTTAAGAAACTCTTTTGTTGTGCATCTTAGTTCTGTGGTCCATTGCTCATAGAAAAATCTTTTAGGTATTGGATGGTCGGATGTTGAAGCTTTGGACAGACCGAGCCGCTGAAATTGCAAAGCTTGGCTGGGTATACGACTGTATGCTATTGGACTTGACCGTCAACAGTGTAACCATGTCCTCAGATGAACAACACGCTGTCGTGGAAGCAACAATAAATGAATCGATCGCCTTAACCGATGTTGTTCATCCTACGAGCGGCCCAAACACTACGACCTACACAACTAGATACGAGATCTCGCTTTCTGATTCAGGATGGAGAATCACCGATGGAGCATTATTGATATAAGGAAAACCGATATGTTGATCTGGTAGTGTAAGTATCTTCTGCCTTATGTCTATATAATATAGTCTTCAATAATATAGTGAAGCCGTTGTGAACTTTGTTCACGCGAAGAAATGTCCTATGGGGATGTTTTGCAGCTGGCATCCGGTTGAAATTGTTTTCATGAGAGGTTTTTGCTCTTTGCTTGATAATGCCGGTTCTCTTTTGTGATTCAACTGTGATTGTTTGTTGATGCCGGTTCCTTGCCCACAACCTTTTTTTTACCACGTAGCAAGTAAAGGTGAATAAGCAGCGGAAGTCTCATCGAGTCCAAAAATTACCTTTTTTTTACTACACTCTCGGCTTAAAAGCCTTTTCTCTTTCATTTACAAGGAAAGACCGTTACTTCCCCAAACTGTCCAAAAATTTTTAGTTGTGTGTGTTACTGTGTATACAAAAGGCATCTAATCTTTGTTAGCAAATTGCGTAGTGATAGAATGAGCCTCTCATAGAAGAGAGGACACGTTGTCCCTCCAGCTGGAGGACTTCTGGTTAGCTGACGGGTTCAAGAAGCTGAGCCCGAATAGCTCCTTTGGCGCATATTGTGGCTCCACAAACCCGATTAGCTTCACTACGAGGATTGAACTTTCCCTAACGTGTCTTATGTTTCTCAAGTCCGTCCACAGCTTTCCAGCCAGCTGCAAAGCTCTCTGCTTCGTGTCGAGTTCTATGTTCCACTTCAGGTACAGCTCTTCCCTTTCCCTTCTCGTCAACTTCTTCTGCAGTTGTTTGGCCAACATTATCCTCTCCCGATTTAGAAGCTTCGAACTGTACGAGAACATACACTAGTGGTCAATACCTAGATAGTCTTAACTACAGATTCTAGGTAGAATTAAGAAGCCGGGCTGAACCATACCTAGAGGTGTACGTAGCGACCTGACTATCCACGACGGGGTTGTTTCCACGAGCAGCTGTGTCCTTCATGAAGTAGAGTCTCCTGAGCTCAACTTCCATGTACACGTTGTCCGAAGGATCTCCTTTGAAGAGGAGGAAGAAGTAACTCCTGTGGACCAATGGTACATTGCATTTCGCCCATAGCTCGATGATCTTCCTGCGGTACCTCTCAAATTTCTGTGACCAGTTAGCTTGGCTCTGGCTCAAACTCCTGTTTGTCTCCGAAACAAGGTCTCTTGCCCGTGTCATTGGCCTCCCTTCTGGAATTCTCCTCAGTGGCTCCACAACCTGCACTTATCCATCTCCATTTACATAACGTACAGCAAGGCTGCCAGCAACCAACTAAACGGTTTCCTGCTGTAAATATCCAAGAGAGAGAGAGAGTGTGTGTTTGTATGTCTTGCTTACCGAAATGACACCGATTTCTCTGGTCGGCTGCTTTTGATGCTTGATTATCTTCTTACCCTTCTTTCCTCCTGCAACTGAATTCAGAACACTCGTCGTATCATCAAAATCATCAAAATGAACATCGATCTCTTTAATGATCTCATCCTCTTTGGTGCCAACAACACAGCTCTCCGGATACTCTGAGTTGTTCATTCGTGACACGTGCTCCATCTTCAGACCCTTGTTGTCCTCTTCCGGATTCTCTCGTCTCTCGGTAATCTCCTCGTCAGTTGCACTAGAGTCTCTAGCATCGTAACCATCCTCCTCTTCACTGTCTTCTTCCTTGTCCTCTGCTTTCTTGGACCAAAGTGCCGAGGGAATAGTCATCACCACAACTTTCTTGCTCTTGCTTCTGGTCCACGACACACCTTTCTCCGACCTATAAGGAGAAGACTTGTCCAAACTTTCTATCGTCTTCTGCAGTTCCTGAACCCTCCGCTTCAGAATCTCGTGTATATCATAGGAACCCACGTCGCAAAGCTCCTTGGTTTCCTCAGCCGTCGCTAATGTCACATCAGCAGGTTCATCTGTAGTATTATCCATTTTTGTTGATGGAGTTTCTCCCATTTCGGCACAAGGGACGTCCCTGCACATGTTCTCTGACTCGCTGGTGCTCCGTTGAGGGATCTCCTCCTGCAGAGAGTTAGCTCCGAGACTTGCTTGTGTCTCAAGCAATTGCCTCTTGGGAACAAGATTAGGCATGCTGAACTGGTCGTACTCCCTACCGGTGCTGCTGCTTCTTGCGAGAACTGCATCAGCCTCTAATACTGAATTCTCGTCCACTCTGAAGAGTCGATCTTCCCTGACTGATTTCAGCAAGCTATCGATGTGCGATTGTGCAAGATCGCGCTGCCAGGTCAACTCCTTGATCTCTTGCTCCATCTGAAACAGTAACGGACATTACTAGCCATGCAAGGAAGCAAGGTAGTCAAAACTATACATATTGTGTAGAATCGGAAGAAGCGAATAGTAAAATCATAAAATTATATGGATCAAGATTTTGACTACCATGGAATCAACATAGTGGAACTAGAATAGCAAACCTGCTCAAGCAAAAGTTCTTTCTCCTTAAGCAATGCAGCTGTATCGTTGGCTATGGACATGGTTCCTACCAAGCTGTTGGCCTGCAGCTCAAGTTGGCCCTCCAACCTGGAGATATCCTTCTGCAACTGCTTCACCAAGTTCTTGTCAGTTATGGAAGGAAGCAAGGTAGTCAAAACTATACATATTGTGTAGAATTGGAAGCGAATAGTAGGATCATAAAATTCTATGGATCAAGATTTTGACTACCATGGAATCAGCATAGGGGAACTAGAATAACAAACCTGCTCAATCAAAAGGTCTTTCTCCTTCAGCAACGCAGCTGTATCGCTGGCTTTGGACATGGTTCCTACCAAGCTGTTCTTGGCCTGGCGCTCAAGTTGGCCCTCCATCCTGGAGATCTTCCCCTGCAACTGCTTCACCAAGGCCTTGTCAGTCATGGAAGGAAGCAAGGTAGTCAAACCTATACATATTGTGTAGAATAGGAAGCGGATAGTAGAATCATAAAATTCTATGGATCAAGATTTTGACTACCATGGAATCAGCATAGGGGAACTACAATAACAAACCTGCTCAATCAAAAGGTCTTTCTCCTTCAGCAATGCAGCTGTATCGTTGGCTTTGGACATGGTTCCTACCAAGCTGTTTTTGGCCTGGCGCTCAAGTTGGCCCTCCAACCTGGAGATCTCCCTCTGCAGCTGCTTCACCAAGGCCTTGTCAGTCATCACCACGTTGACCTGTGCGCTGGTCGACACTTCCTTGGCGCAGCTGGCGAACATGAGCGTGTTTCTCGATTGCTCGGCGTGGCAACGGGCAGGGCTCATTGTGCAGATTATGGCAGTCTTCGCATTGCCTCCCAAGCAATTCTGCAGTATCCTGGTCAACTTGGATTCTCTGTAGGGTATGTGTCCGTATTTCCCTTTGCTGGCATCAAGTTTTTGGCATGGATCAGTAGTTGAATAGATGATGGAGCTTTAATACAAGGAAGGCGTGTTCGTAGTTTACAGTTTGTACCCACCTTAGTTTGCGGATTACGGTGCCCAAGGTGAGTAAGCTGCGGTTAATGTGGGAACCTTCTTTTAATCTCGTACCGGTTGACCATGCCTGAGAAGCTCGCTCACTCCCTGCCAAATCAACGAAATTCTGGAGAGCCAACGGTTCAACAGGTTAGCATGCTTAGTTCTGAGTGGCCATGATACGGCCTGGTCTAGGATCAGAGCGATTCAAATATAGGAAAAATGAGGATCAAATCAATGAACGGAATCTTAGCCCACTCTAAAACTTGTGAGGAAGTAAAAACTGAAGAGGCAGAGACACATTTAGTAGGGAAAAGCTGTTCTTTACCAGGGAAGCAGTGAGAGTGCTCAAATTCCCTGAACCAAAGTTCTCACGAGCACAGCTTTCCACCGTCTGCAAGATGAACCAGAAGAAACACCAACACAGTAAGAAATTTCAGCGAGAGAAGATCTACAATGGACGACAAGGGAAGTGAACGTAAAACAGGATACATACTAGCCTAAGGATTTGATGTGATCTGGAGCTGAACTCATTCAGAGCAGTCTCTCCTATGTGCCTTTGAGCTGCACCACAAGAAAATCTCACCTCAGCATTGAAGTCGAGCTGCATTTCAATTTCATCACAGTGTTCTTGAGAAGAGTCATGCTTTTTACCTTCACAAATGGAAAGGAGTTCCTGCAGGTGGTTCCAGTCTTCAACCGTCTCTTCAATCAGCTTATCAATAATGGTTCCTCTCTGTTTTGGATGAACAGAACATTATAATAACCTAAAAGCTCAAAACTGATTATACTGAAAGCGATATTGAAACCGAAAGTTGAGAGTTCACCTCTGGATCATCCAGAAGCCTGAGAGGACTGGGATCCGAGCTAAGCAAGTCTCTAACAGCTTCGTTGTAGATCTCAATGGCGGAGAATTTCAACACAAACTCTCTTTCTTGGTTCTGAAATACCCAGAGAAACCAATCAGTTTACCTAATCAAACCTCTCTGGAAATTCAGAATCCTTTATCTTTCGCCAGATTACCTGGTAGATGTAGTTGAAAATGTCTGCCATGGCGTACTCTGTGATTCCGCTCATCGTATACGTCTTCCCACTGCTCGTTTGGCCGTACGCGAAAATGCTAGCTGAAAACACACAGTAACATCAGATAAATTTACTCAACCTTCTCTGTTACGGTAATGGAAGAGAAGATCGCCGGTAAGTTAGAACCCTTACCATTGACGCCGCTGACGACGGAAAGAGCGACTTCCTTGGCCACTTCCTCATAGACCTGCTTCGTGCCGGAATCCGGCCCGAACACTCTATCTGTAGCGGGGAAAGAACAGATAATTAAATTCAATCGAGACGGAAGAGGAATTGGAGACTGGATATACTCAGATTGGGGATGAATTTTTTAGGGTTTTACCGAATGTGAAGGCGGAAGGGAGCATGGAGCGATCGGGCATGGAGGATTTGAAGATGAGGGTGGTGGCACTGATGCATTCCCAATCGGAGACGTCGTTCTTCACCATTTCCTTGTCGTTGAGCGGCCTCAGCCTGATGGCGACGTGAATCTTCTCCGATTCGCCGGCGACGTCGCCGGAAATCGACACCGACTCGTCCCCGCCCCATGATCCCAGCGCGCTCCGCCGGTCGCCCCTACCGCGGATCGTCGAGCTCACCACGCTCATTTTCTCTTGTCGCCAAACAGAGTCGAATTCAGGGAGAAGAAACGAGCCGGTAGCGAGAGAAAATCAGGTCAGGATCTTAGATTGCTCGATCGCCAAAGCATTCTCCTCTAGAATTAAGACTAACACACACAAACAAACGAAGAAACTTCTCCACCGCGACCGCTGGCGTCCGCGAGAGAAAGGAGAGAGCAGAGGCGAATCAGCCGGAGCAGGGAGGAAGGATATTCAAGCTCCGGCGGTAAGCGATTTCTGTTCTTCGTCCCCTCTCTCTCTCTCTCTGAGAGATTGGTCAGTTCCTCCTCACACCGTTCCGGTTGTCTCCTTCCCCCTCCCTCCCAGGCCGGGACAAAAGCTTTCTGAGCGTGATGAGCTCCGGCCGGCGAGAGGGAAGAGGGAGAAAGCAAGAAACCAGAAGGCAGTAGGCGTAATTCTCGGTGAATTCCTTGCTCCTCTCTCTTCCCTTGGGCGGGGGGGAAGAAGGAAGGAGAGAGGCTTTTCGTTGTTCGAATTTAGCTATTTTTTCTTTTAGGAAAGAAGGAAAATCCGCCATAGCTAAAATAGGGAACGAATCCTGTCCACCAGACCAGACAATTGCTACCATATGCCTCCCTCCCTCTCCCAGCAAACACTCTCCTTCGTTGCAATGAATTTCAACTTTCCCGGGTTTTCCCCCCACTAAATTCTCAATTTTCTATTTTTCGTATTAAGTAAAATACTACTAATTTCAGTGACCTGTTGTGCTTTTGGGCTTTATTGGCCCTCCTCCTTAAATTTGAATTGGGCTTGATGATATGATCCAACCAAATACATGATAGAGATTATCTTTTTACCATTTTGAATTTTCTGCAACATGAGTAATTGTCAAGGTTGTCAAACCGGTTTAAGTCATTGAGCCGGTCGAGCAAGAGGTTTGAGGTTTAATAGTCTAATTGAGGTCCGATCGGTTTGAACCATTTTTGGCGTTTTCTAAATATATATACAAATAATGTAGTAATTAAATATTTAATGACTGAAATAAAATATATCTTACATATACCTATTAAAAACTTATTTTCCAAAAAATAAACCTACCTAACCTCCATGACCCACCCACCATCTCCCTTCCTTCATTTTTCTTCCTCTCCTCCCCCTCTCTTCTTCTCTCTCTTTAGGCGTCAGACCGGGAAGCTTTCTGGAGGAAGTTTTGAAACTCGACTCGGTCGGACTGGGTCTAACTGGGGGTTCGATGAGGGTTCAACAACCTTGGTAATTGTAGATAGGGATGAAAATTTAAACCCGTCCCGTCGGGTATTACCCGATCTTATCCGCGATGGGACGGGTATTACCCGACCCGCATTAGTGTGGGGGCGGGGTATGGGTATCTATTTCCGACCCGTCCCGTCCCGTCCCGCCCCGTTCTTGGCTCATTCTATCTCAATTTCCTATAGTATCTATTCATATTTCTCCTATTTTGACGTTTCTTCAACTAGTTAAACTTGATTTTCAAGTAGTTTGACTTGATTATCCATTCTATTTTCACTATTTTGCATTCATAAATAGTTTTCCCCTTCAATTTATCGTAAAAAGTAAAATTTTACGTGTATTTTTTTCAAGTAACATGCAAGAATAGGTCGACCCGTCCCGCCCCGTACCCGCGTGGGTATTACCCGCCCCGACCCGCATTAGCATGGGGCGGGGCATGGTACCCGCCCGTCCTGCTCCATTGCCATCACTAATTGTAGAAAGAACAAATTAAATTTTTTTTAATTAAAACTGAAAATAAGCCAATTATCCAGCCATACTTGAATTTATGGTATCAAAATGATACATGCGTGTTGGAATTCACGTTTTCAAAAAAAAATTAGATTTTTTTATGAATGGTGGGATTATATATCATAAAAACAGAGTTTACTATGGCAAATATCCCTTGTCACTAACCAAACTGTAAAGAAAGACAAGTAATATTATACTCTAAGCCAAGAACTATGCAAGTGATGACTAAAAGAACAAGTTAGTTTCAGAATTATCGAATAACACTTGAACATCCTTTTGAATCTGCAAAATACTATCAACAACTACAACTCCCTTTGTTATAGCTCCATATTAGTTACACACTTATCTCGCCAGGGCCACCCTGGATCCGCGACCCAGTACTCTTTTTGGTCCGGAGTTAGTATAGCCCTTATAAATTTTTAGATCTTAGATATTTGGCTCAGTGTTATTTTATAATAAAATTGTGTGTAACAAGAAAAATGGTTCAGATGAACATATTCAGATCACTACTCTAAATTTAGCCAAAAAATTCTAGCTCCATTGATTTTCGTCTAAAAAAATAAACAATAAAACCTAAAAGACTAAAAGAAATACGAGGTTTGTTCCCTTCAAAAATTACTAGAGCTGGTGGATATAGGGATGGACACACAATACAATCGATTAGTCGATTGATTTGTCTAGTCTTGACGTTGCTTGTTTCAACGACTACTATGTAGAGAACCTTTTAAACAATGAAACGTGTGAAAACTTATTTGCGCAACTAAATGAGCAATGTGTTTCTCGTCAATTGCTTAACTATTTATTTGAAAGAGAGTATGCTATTGGTATGTGTGTAGACTCCATTATTGATGAATTCGCTAAATAAAAAACCTTCTTGTACAATTGACATTGTACAAAAAAAAAACCAATTTTTTTATTTATGATTTCTAATTTTCTAACAAATGCGGCCTAGTACTCTACTATATTCTGGATCCGTTTTACCCTTTCCACCTTTGACTTAGTAGCTTTGCCAGAAAACTTGGTAGCAGCCCCCTGCAATCTGTATCCCAGTCATGAAATGGTATACCGCCACTGAATTGCTAGAAAAGCCCTTTGAATATGCCTTGGAATCTAGAACACTCAAAGAAAAGATGAAAGTGTGTTTCAATCTGCCAATCACAAAACAGGCAATGAGAACTCCCTTGGATCCCCCACTGCAGAAGCTTGTCTCCTATTGTAACAGACTCTCTAATAATTAACCAACAGATGATCTGATTACTTGGAATAGAAGGAGAATGGCATACCAACTTGTATCAACACACTTCATGGGATTTTGTATGAATTGTTCGCAAACGAGCTTGGTTGAGAACTTTTGTAGACTTTTGACCTACCATAGCCCTACACCATAACGAACAATCAACATCCCTTGAATCGTGTCTCTTATCTTCAAAATTTTGCACCAAATCCACGATCCTCTTTTGGCGGTAGTGGACTAAATGTCCCAACCATGCATTCTATACTCACGAATCCAGGCGACCCACAAAGATCCATCCTTCAACAAGAAATCCCAGATGTGGCTGACAATACAGGCTAAGTTCCAGGCTTTCCAGCTACATAGGTCTCTTATGCCTAACCCACCTTCTTTCTTTGGATAAACAATTTTGCCCCAGATAAAGTCACTACATAGCTTTTTTATTTCACGAATAACAGTCTTAGGTAATATGAAGAGAGCCATCCATAATTGAGCAAGCCTGGAACGAACAGATAGAACTAATTGAATTCTACCAACATAACTAAGCTTCTTAGCACCCCAACCCTGAATGCTGCGTGTGATATTTTCTATTAGTGGACTACAGGCTTTGACAGAGAGCTTGCCAGTGACAAGAAGGAGACCCATATACCTCACTGGTAATTCCCCTACCCTGTAAGTGTAACCATCTCTTTGTGCCATATTTTCTTTCCATTCAACAGGTAAACCACCACAAAAAAGTTCACATTTGATGGGTTAGAAGCAAGACAAGACAATTCCCTAAAATGAGTTAGAACCGATTGAATGCATTGTATTCCATAATTAGAGCCATCCGAGAATATGAGTAGGTCATCTGCAAACATTAGGTTAGTCAAACCTATCCTCTTACACATGGGGTGATAAGGGAGTCGATTTTCTGCCACTGCTAACTTCATTAGACTACGGAAAACTTCCATGGCTAATGTAGCAAACAGATAAGGGGACAAAGGGTTCTCTTGTCTAAATCCTTTTTTTTTTTTTGCGGAGAAATAGCCGAACACACCCGCATTGAAGCCAACACTCATCCTAGGTGTGGTTACACACATACAAATTCATTTAATAAATTGATTTGGAAATCCCATTGCTTCCAAAACTGTGAATAGAAACTGCCAATCGCCTGAGTCGAATGCTTTCATAAAGTCCATTTTGACAATACTACGTGGGGAAATACTTTTACTTAGTATACTTCTAGACTAGTTCATGTACAAGTTAAGATATTCTCCCCTATCATCCTACCATTTACAAACGCTGTTGGATTCTCACTTATTACCAAAAGACAAACACATTCACTAAGCCTACGGGAAATAATCTTAGCAATACACTTGTATAAAATGTTGGAGCAGGATATAAGCCTAGAGAACTTCATTTTTAGTTTTAGGTAGCAGGGCTAGAAGAATAGAGTTTATTAATTCGCTTTTTTGTGTGATCGATTAAAAAAAATGGTCATTTTTTGCTCTATTTGATTTACATGTTCCAAAAAGTTGACCAAAATGCACATGCATGATCTAGTCTGGACCCTATAGCATTTGTTATGGTCCATAGTCTATGCTCTAGAGTCTAGAGCATAGATGATGGTACATATATAATTTGTGTGGGTCAGACCGCATCATTTTGCAGCCCCATTTTGGGGAGATGGGGATTTATTAGGTGATAGAATTATGGAGATGTTTTGGTTTCCAATTCCTGGTTTTTAGCCCTATATAATCGGGAAATTGCCAAATATCACGGGAAGGAGAAGTTGTAGCAATGACAATAACCTAACGATATAGATCTATAGATACTTGGAAGAAATTAAACCCCTTTTTTTCACTCTACCCAAATCCTCCCATCCCCCCATCAAATCCTCTTCACAGCGAAACATGACCAGAGTAGCGCCGTCAGACGCCGCCACCGCCGCCGTCAACCCGCCGCCGTCAAAATCATGGAAATCTCACTGCACGCTGCTGCTGCTTGTATCCGTCCCAACATCCCTACTCTGCTTCATGGCCGTTATATCATACCAGACTTCCGATACCCCGGACGTCCAGCTCGCCTCCGCCGTCGTCTCCACCAGCAACGCCAGCTCCCTCGCCATCGACGCCGACTGGCTCCTCACCTTCCACGTGGCAATAACCGGCGGGAGCTACCCCAACCACTACGGCCCCGTCGAGGCCGCCGTGCTGTACGCCACCGGCGGAGGAAGCCAGCTGGAGATCGCCGGCGGCCAGCTGCCGCCTTTTGACGTCGGCCCGGATTCCACGTTCAACCTGCGCCTCCGGCCAAAGGCGGCGGCGAGGGACGATTGGGGTATCGACATTATCCGGGTGCTCAATGACACGGTGGCGGGTTCCGGGTCCGTGGAGTTTCGGGTCCTTTTGAAGGCCTCGTGCCGAGAAGATTTTGCTTTTGGTATAAACAAACCGAGGATGTTTATTCGGGTCGATTGTGACCCGGTTCGGGTCGAATTTTCGGGTCCTGGAGGAGGAGGAGGAGGGCTTCTGAGTGGAAGCTTGGCTAAATCCACCAGTTGTTGTGTAGAGCAAATCTATTGAGCCGGTGATCTGGATAGCTTTTAACGCAACGTATCGTTATTGATAGGCGAATTGTACTTTAGAAGCTAGCTAGGTTTGTTACAGTAGATTTAAGAGCTTGCCTTTTTTATGTTGGTTGAATTATACTTTGAAATATTGTTTATATGGGTGTTTTTGTTTATTGTGTTTTATCTATCTTCTAATGATACAGTGAGATTTAGATTGTTAATTTGGTGTAGAGTAGTGAGTTAAAGCTGCTTAATTTTCGTCATTGTTGTTTATTGGTTACCTATTTTTAACCTAGGTAGAGTAGATTGGGTTGAGGGTAATATTTGTGTTGGATTATGAATTTTTTTTTTGGATATAAAAGAAATATGAAAATGGATAGAAATAATTGTACAAGAGAGTTCTTGAGAGAAAGCTGAGGAGAAAGAATAAGAAGAATCATGTAGAAATAACAGTAACTCGTAATTAGAAATCGTTTTCTTACTGTCAGGTGTGGTATTGCTCTCCCACATTGAGTGCTCATCACCATCATTGCTTCTCTCGTTCTTTTCGTCTTTTCTTTTCCACTTTTCTTCATTTCTTCGTTAAAAATTGGAGGCGAATCTGTTTCGAATCGGCAAGGCAAACTGCTTGGTGTATGTGGAGCTAGAAATTTGTCGATGACGGACTTTGAATCCTGGCAGAGATCGAAGAGGAAGGTATTGCACATTGGGCACAGTGCTTTGTAAGGAAATTCTTGCATTCTTCCCCTCACATTTGCCAAATTCAAGCATGGGCAAATAGACTCTGGAGTAAAGAGTGAAAATTAGGATTTCATGGTTAGAATAACGATTGACGGTTGTTAATGTTCCAATTGATATTTTGAAGATTTAACAAACTGGGTTAGAAGCTGCTTGAACAAGAAAACAGCCGCGATTATTCAAATTAGAGAATTCGAGCTTTGTTTTCCCCAATACAACTGCGGGATTGAAAGCCTTTCTAGGAGTGGCCGATCGTTTTTCGGTTAGCTGTTAATGACCAGTTTAATCGATAACCATCGGTTAACAACTAACCAAAAACCGACGTTTATTTATCTTGGTCGGTGGTTGGTAGAAGGGAGGTGATTTTCGGTTAACCGAGTAACCGATGATAATTATTCATGTTTATCCGACTAACCGAAAATAACCGACCAGCCACCCATACATAAAATGTCGCCGTTCCCCATCCAAAAATCGACCCCCTTCGGCTATTCCCCAATTCGGGTTGGATGGATTATTGATATCAGGATGACTGTTAGTATGAGATTATTTTATGAGTGAAGGAAATTGAATGTTTCATCAACCACATGTTTACCTATGATCTATGTGAAACTAGTTAAACGAACTGATCTTGTATATAGTACATAATCCTCTTGCCAAACGCCTAAATATTCTCCATTCTCTCTTTTGCCTTTCAATATTCTATTCTGAACTCTCCTCTTGTTTGTTGAGCTTGAAAAATATACAATTTCCAAGTAAAATTTGGTACCTCGTTATTGATTCCGTTCATTTAAGGATTATCAAATGCCACATTGCCACTTCAAAATGTCAGAATCGATCATACTAAAGAGATAAATAAAATTTTGAGATGCAAAAACCACGTACCCAATAATAAACATCCCAATCTTTATATGCGACTCCAAATGGAACGAGATGGCATATCTGTAAGAATATACAATACTTCATTACTTCTGCATACACCAAAATACATACACGCTGTTTTGCCTCAAGCCGTACAAAATTTATATTAGCTGTTACTCAGCTAAGTAAAATACGTGCAGATATACAATCATACATGGGTCTGGATTATATCGATGCGTAAAAGCTATACACTGTACACTAACAGTTACAGGAAACAGCAAACGACAATAAGCATGGAACAGCCTTGGCGTCTTTGATTTGCAGCATCGTCAGTCTGCAAGTTCTCTCATGATGTGCAAGCTAGCACTCAAGCGTCCACCTGCTTTGACTGCTTCTTTCAAGTCCAACTCACTGCCCTCAAACACACAAAATAACAGGAAATGAGTTCCAACATGAATTCCAGGTTGCGGGGTTGGAGAGTCGAATTGAAGGGTAAAAACAAGAGTTTCCAGCAGATATGTGATATCTTAGTCAACTATGACGTGCTTATTTAGCATGGATGGATCCTGCTTGTAATGGATTGTGACAGAATTCATAGCTGAAGTCAAAACGGATACTCGAGATAGTACACGAAGATGTTTGCTTTTCCGGATAAGTGATTGATTTCATTAGAACTCGTTGAGATCAGCAGAACAAGTAGTACAAGTTTCTGTTTCATATACTCTTTGAATTCTAGGAGCAAAAAGAGGATCAGCCATTGAGAAAGGCGAGCAAAAAACAATCAGAGTTGGCTATATATTACCTATTGTCTTATTAAGCAACCACAGGAGGAGGGCTAATTCAACTCCAAATATGGTGTGAAGCCATGATCTATCCATCATGAACCCAAATACCGTCATTCCTGCCTTGTTGTTCTCTAGATAAGTCACTAGCAAGAAATAAACGAAAGCAAACTATCAGCAACCTACATCAATATAGAAACCCTTAGCCTCTGGGTATATGCAAGCCATCTCAAAATTTTACCTAGAGCTTGTCTCTTTTGAAAAGAGATTGTATGTGCAAAAATCGGCACCATGTTGGAGCTGTCAGAGTTGTCATCATCATCTTCTTCTTCTTTATCATCTCCATCTTCATCCAAAACCCAGTCAATATTGATGGGGTGCACCTGACCACAGCTGGGATAAAATACCCGATGGCTGGTTGGAGTATTGCCATCCGCCACGTTTGGATCGTATGATGAGTTGATAGTAGCGCAGACGTGCCACTTGGCGGCGAGGCTAGTTATGGCCTGTGCTTTGTGGGTGATCTTCGTAGCACTTCGCAAGCATATGAATAGCCCTATCACCAGATTAATAGAACAGAGCTGCCCTCACACAACCATAGAGATTATCAGTCCGATGATTCCTTCATATCGACCCATCATCATTTAAATTAAGATCAAGGACATGTTTATGACAAATACGTAAGAATTTTGACAAACAAATCTCTCCACTATCACATGTATCCGTTCTAGAACGAGGTACTAAACATGAGTTGATCCTGCCTGAGGGATCAATTTTTTTATATAAATGATGCAGTACATAACCATTAAAGATTAATCAGCATAGATAGAAAGACGGAGGAATAGATAGATATGATACCGCTAGTTCTCCAGCCTCGTAGATGTTGTTAGTAGCAGAGGACCGAGTAGTGACAAGCAATGACATCAGCTGACTAGCGGTGACCAACAGCAGAGACAAGAGAATGAACCTTCTGAACCGATGGCTGATAATCCTCAGGTTCCTTCTGATCCTGAGGTGCTCTTTCAAGATCGAGCCAACCTCACTCTCAGTCTGAAAGAAGTCGGCGAACTCCTCCAGTCTGAGTATCTGGAGATGGCAAATGACCCGGTATAGAATGCAGACCAGGATGAAAATCGAGATGCGGTAAACCCAGCTGGCCAGTTGCAATGTACAAATGACTATGTCGCTCAAGTACACATTCTCCAGATAGGGTATCTCGAAGGCTCCTGTAGCATACCACCATATTCTGTACGCGCTCTCAACCGCAAAACATGGCAGCACAAATGTGCAGAGAAGCCTCATTGATCTCTGCCTCAAGCCAAAGGATACCAATTTTAGTCCGAATCAAAACAGGAATTGAATGTCTAGAATGTAAATGGAGAAATTCCCAACTCAATTTTGCTTTCTGTGTTTAACCCTTCACTCAGGTAACTAACATTAGGTTCATCTACGATAATTTTGAATCATGGAAGAACATTCATTTGCCAACTAATGGTTCATTCAATAGCTCAAACAATTGACGAACTGGTGATTGACCTATACAGTAGGACAAATTCAGATGATCGATCTAAGATATCTTATTCGGAGAATCAGTTATCAACAAGTATCAAACTCCACGATTTCACAGTTTTGATTCAAAGACAGAGAAATGATGAACAGAAATTAGTAGTTACCTTGAGCTGCTGCTGGTATCCTCGCCGAATCCGGGGGCTCTCATCATCCAACTTGTCCAGAAACAGAAACTTCCGGAACCCATACTTGCGAGACCAATAAGACAGGCAGAGGAAAGAAATGATAGCACAAACAGATAGTGACAGCTGCACCACGGAGTCGTAAGGCCGCTGATGCTCTTGATCACAATCAGCGCATAGAAGGAGAAAGTGGGAGACGATCGGGTTGACAATGGCGAGAAGGAAGAACACCGACCACGACAGACACGCCGTCCAGAGTTTGGATTGATCCTCCACGCACAACAACTTGAGGCATAATCTCAAGCTCTTCAATTCGATCCCTCCCCTCTCTCCCCTTTCTTCTTCTTCCTCTGCAGCATCCGATAGCTTCTGGAGCTTGGGTATCACGATCAGGGCAGCGGTTGCTTCATTTTCCATTTAAGCACAAATTCCGAAGCCGGGGAAGATGAATTTCCAGTTGGAATCGCCAGCCCAATACGCCGGAAGAGAAAAAGATAAGACCTTTGCAAACAAATTGGTCTGGAATTTGAAGTCCACTCACCGGAGAAACTGGGTTTAGGGTTCCGGGTGAACTGAAAAGGCGCTGATTGAATGATTGACTCAAAACTGAACAAGTCGTGAAATTTCGATTGGTTGGTGGAGGGAAAATGGATAGGAAGCAAAGAGAGAGCGGTGAGCGGCTGTGGGGATGCCGGCGGAGATGGGGTAAGGGGAAGAAATGGGATCCTCGGGTTTCAGGAAGGGACGGCGGGAAAGGTAGCTTTGCAGGAAAATGATTTATTGAAGAATAAATAAATAAATAAATAAATATAGAGCAGAAAAACCTATGGGAGGTTGAAGAGACAGGAGACGTGGAGGTTTTATATTTGAATTCCTGGTGCAGGTGAATTATTAGGCCTAACCTAAGTACAAGTTAAGAAGATTAGGCTTAATTAAGTAAAAGAGGGCAAGATTAGGCTTAATTTAAAAGAGGGAAAAGGAGGTCCTTAAGTCAGGTGGTTTCTGTGAATTCTACACTTGTTGTTATGTACAGTACAAATACAAATGAGTGTGCCATGCCACGATACCTCTACAAATATCTGCATTTTTGTTTGTAAGCGTGATTACCAATTATTAATGATTTTGGCATTTCCCTCACGAGGAATTTAGGACGGAGATATAGGATCAAATTTGGCATATAGATGTGGCAGAGAGCAACATTTTAGCTAGCTCAAGGCTGAACAATGTGGCATCAATTTACGGAATTGTATCCTTTTTCAGCCGCAAAGATTTGCCTTAGCCCTTGGTGAATGAATTCCTCTATGTTCAGTGTTCACCAACCACAAATCTGCTTCTCTAGGACGACTAATTACTAATTAGTAGTACACAGTGGGGAAGCCGGTATGCAAAATACCTGTGTGCTCTTTTTAAAATATAAATTAATAATATTTAAATAATTCATTCATAAATAATAAAGAAATAACTTACTAATACAATTATTATTTTCATAAACAATTTCAACGCGGCTGATCACTCAAATTATACAAATCTTTCACGTTTGCCACCCGAATTACTTTTCTTTTTTATTCGCCACTAACTTTATGAATCGTTTCACGGTTGGTCACCGGCCGTTACACTCCGTTAAGTTTGTCCTATGTGGCAGTCAACTATAAAGTTTGACCGTTAACTAGATGACGTGGAAATTAATTTTTTTTTTCTTTCCACCTCATCATTGCACTTATTTTGTCCATATAATTTATCATATTAATAATTTAATAAAATTTAGGCAGAATACACATGTATAGCCAAAACTTTGACGATTTTGCCAATAATAGCCACTTTCTGAGAAATACACAAAATAGCCACTTCCGTCCAATTCTTTAACGGTGTCATTTAACTAGCTGACTGGACTAACGGAAATGATGACTTGGCGAACTTTGACTAATAACAAGCTGAGGTGAAATTAGCTGGAAAATAAATTAATCAATCCATTATTATTTTCTCTCACCCTTCCCACCTCTCTCTTCCCACCCCTCTCTCTCGTACTTCCCGTCGCCAACTCCACAGCAGCAGAGCCGCCGTACAGCCACCGGAAACCCATTTCCCCAGCTCCACTTTGTACACAATCCCTGACCCGTTCTTCCCCAATACATAAGTCGATGCCCTTAACAACTCGTCCAGCTCAAAATTAAACCCTTTGTCCATCAAGACCAGATCCCCTTCTCCCGATTCCACTCCTCCACTGCCTCCTCCTTCCATGCCGCCGCTTGCGTCGCTTCCACCTCGACTGGGTTGGTGTTCTTCTTGTTCTAGTGAATCGTTGACAGGAAAACAAGGTGAAAATCAGAGAGGTATAAAACACACCTTATCAGATGCATGAGAATGGGAGTGGGATTTAGAATGAGATTTCTTGGAGTGTGGAGCCTTGGCCGGCTTTCAGCGGGATCAGGATGAAGCTCGGGTTTGGAAATGGCTTCGATTTCATATTTGTGTTTGAGGGAGTTGCTTTTAAAGAAGAAGAAAGTGATGATAGCTCCGAGAAGTACAATAGGGAGAAGAGCGTCCATTTCGAGCAAAAATGATCAGAAGCTGAACCGCAGTCAATTGTACAGAATCCGCAAGCGTTTTTGTTGTCAAATTGAAATTGGAACCGAAGACGAAAGAGTGATTATTCTAATTTTTGCTACTATGGATTTGTAGAGACACTGCCGCCGTCTACGGCTGAAGGCTGAAAGGAAGGCTGGTGCTCTGTTTCCTACAAAGGGTCCGCAGGGGAAGGGAAAGGGTCTGTTGAGGTAGGCGAAGAGGCATAAATAATTTTTTTTTTATTTTTTTGTGATTATATTTTTTTATTAAAATATGTCGTGTCCAATTTGTCAATGACGTGTCGAGTGAGTTGGCAGTCCAATAAACGTACCGTTAAAATAACTAACGGTGTTAGTAACGTCGTTAAAGTTTGTAACGGAAATGGCTATATTTGTCATTAAACTTTCAAAAGCCTGGCTATTTTTGGTATTTCTCCAAAAGTGGCTATTATTGTCACAAACGTTAAAGTTTTGGCTACACATATGAATTTGACCTAAAATTTAATAAATTACAAAAATGGGCAAATCCAAATGCTCATCATCCTCACCCTTACCATCCACTCCATCGTTCAATCACTAGACTATCTCCGGCATCAAGTTCAAAGGCGTCCGCCCCGACCTCATCGACTCCATCGTCACTCACTACGCCTCCAAGTGGCTCCCGGAGCTCTCCCTCTCCTCCTCCTCCTCCGTCGACGTCGACAACAGCGTCCCTGCCGCCGCCGCGGCCGGCTCGGAAGAGAGGAGAAGTGGTGGAAACTCCGGCCGGCATGGATCAGGAATCCCACAAATACCCAGTGGGGGAATCCGGCGGAGTAGCAGTAGCAGCAAAGGAGAAAGAGAAGGAGCAGGTGCTACTCAGCTCACCGCCGCTCCTCTGCTTCTTTCCGCCACCGGGAGACGCAATCGACGGAGGAGACTCTTGATGAGACTCTTGATCCAAGCTCGGAATCCCTCCGCTGAAATGGAGCAAGAAGCTCGCCGACTTCGCCGCCTCTTGGGCGCACACGAGGCAGGGGGACTGTGAGCTCATCCACTCCGACACCAGCTACGGCGAGAACCTGTTTTGGGGGAGCGGCAAGCAGTGGAGCCATGGCGACGCAGTGGCGGCGTGGGCCGCCGAGAGATGCTACTACGATCACGCGGCGAATTCGTGTAGAAAAGGTCAGGATTGCTTGCACTACACCCAGATGGTTTGGAGGCAGAGCACGCGAATTGGGTGTGCTCGAGTTGTCTGTAAGAGCGAGCACGCGAATTGGAGATTTTCTGCTTCTACTCCCACCGAACTGATGGGACTCTTGATGATCCTTATCTTGATCTGTCCCCTCCTCGGTGGGAACGTCCGGTCTTGCTTTCTAGAAGACCCGAATACCATTTCATCCACTCCGGCACCAGCTACGGCGAGAACCTGTTCTGGGGGAGCGGCAAGCAGTGGAGCCACGACGACGCAGTGGCGGCGTTGGCCGCCGAGAGATGCTACTACGATCACGCGGCGAATTCGTGTAGAAAAGGTCAGGATTGCTTGCACTACACCCAGATGGTTTGGAGGCAGAGCACGCGAATTGGGTGTGCTCGAGTTGTCTGTAAGAGCGAGCACGCGAATTGGAGATTTTCTGCTTCTACTCCCACCGAACTGATGAGACTCTTGATGATCCTTATCTTGATCTGCCCCCTCCTCGGTGGGAATGTCCGGTCTTGCTTTCTAGAAGACCCGAATTCCATTTCCGCCTAGCGAATTCGAACTGTCGATTTGGGGGGATTGAGTCAGAAAACAGGGGAGCAGATGGGGTTTTTTTTTCCGGGGGGAGTTGCTTGGAGTGACTGCAAAAGGAAAACAGGGGATTCGCTCTCTTCCGAGCCGACCGCGGCAAGGACGTTGTTGTCGACGTCGACGGAGGAGGAGGAGGAGGAGAGGGAGAGCTCTGGGAGCCACTTGGAGGCGTAGTGAGCGACGATGGAGCCGATGAGGTCGGGGTGGACGCCTTTGGACTTGATGCCGGAGATAGTCTGGTGATTGAACGATGGAGTGGATGGTGAGGGTGAGGATTTTGAGCATTTTGATTTGCCCATTTTTGTAATTTATTAAATTTTATTAAATTTTATTAAATTATTAATATGATAAATTATATAGACAAAATAAGTGCAATGATGAGGTGGAAAGAAAATTTTATTTTTTTAAATTTCCATGTCATCTAGTTAACGGTCAAACTTTATTGTTGGCTTCCACGTAGGACAAACTTAGCGGAGTGTAACGGCCGGTGACCAAACGTGAAACGATTCGTAAAGTTAGTGGCGAATAAGAAAGAAAAGTAATTCGGGTGGCAAACGTGAAAGATTTGTATAATTTGAGTGACCAAACGTGTAATTTAGACATTTCAACGCGTTTTCATATTCTGAAAGAAACGCAAAATACATTCATTGTCTACGCTTTTAAGTAAATATTTTTTAATGTATCCAACTAAAAAATCATTAGCAAACTGGTGGCAAATTCGACTTTGAATCTTGTTCTTAGTATAGCTCAAAGCTGAAAATGCTCTTTCTACACTTGTAGTTGCAACGGCTAGAGTCAAAATTAGTTTCATACAAGGTTTAGAAAACCCCACCGTACCGGCCGGTCGGACCGTAAATATCGGATACCGAATTCAAAATGGTAGGCGGTTTTAGCGAAAGGAAATGGTTTAATCACGGTAGATTTTATTTTAGTACAAAATACCTGACCACTCAATTTCCGGTATAACCTCCGGTACGATTTGTTTTGCAAACATATAAGCTAATGAATATGACTAATGTAGTTTTGTCTTCACCATTACATGATATAATTCGTCAATTACCTTCAATCCAACAAATTTCTCATCACTAATAACATCATGATAATACCTAACAAGCTGTTGTGTGAAAAAATCAATATGACCTAAGAGAGATATGAATTGATTATTAGTGGTTTATTCCAATCAGAATTTTGTTAATAGTGTAGTTCCTAGGGCTGTTAATGAACCAAGCCGCTCATGAACTGCTCGGTGTGCGACTCGAGAAAAACTCGTTCGACATTCGATTCGTTTTAATCGAGCCGGCTCGCGAACAAGCTCGTTAACTAAACGAGCCGAACTCGAGCCATACCATGTTCAGCTCGAAAGCTCGCGAACAAGCTCATTTAATGGCTTGGCATAAAAGGGATTATAATTCATGGATTTTATGTATTGAAATTGGGATAAATATTGTGTTTTACTTTGCTAGACTTTGCTAAAAGTTTGAATGTAATTTTGTGCGTAGTTCTAGGTCAATCTTGAGCTATCATGAACATTTTATGAGCTGAACTCGATTTTGGGCTCGTTAACCTTATTTGACGAGCCGAGCTCGAGCTTTCAATTTCATAAACGAGCCGAGCTCGAGCTTGCATATTAAAGCTCGTGACGAACACGAGCCGAGCTCGAACCTGGAAATATATTAACGAGCCGAGCCCAAACTATGGTAAAACTCGACTCGGCTCATTAACAACCCTAGTAGTGCCCATATATATAATGGGCTCAATCTTTGGTAGACATATATGGGTAATTGTTTTTCCCCAAACATCACCTGTGTCCCAGGACAGCCAACGTCCTCTGCCTCCGCCTATGGTAGTACAACTGGGGACGTTTCCTAAATGTATGTCTTGTCACATTGGCTCGGGTCTAAGTTTCGTTTGACAATTGGTAAGTTATGGACGTGTTACAGGGAATGAATTTTCATGTGGTTTTTCTTAATGTAAACCGGTTTATATGACAAAGTGGAAGTAGATTCTCGTGACACCGGGTAGCCATAATGGTATGTGAGTGACGACGGAAAAATATAGAGTTGTTGGACTACTTATTGACATAGTAAAAACAACATAGGATCGTCATTTAGTTTCCCAAAAGGTTGAATCTTTTTCTAAGGAACACCTATTTAGAAAACACTTGTACCACAGATGCGGCCTTCAACTCGAGAAATCCAGCTCCAGAATATGACTTCTCGCTGCTCTAGAAGTATCCTCCTCTAATTGGAGTTGCCTTCTTCAAAACTAGTTTTTTCAAACTAAGAAGGAAGTTTTTGCCGAACAATACTCGTCTATTTTTGTCGTCTCTGTGTGTCCCTCAACGAGTTTCGTAAAAAAGAGTATTTATTGATAGAGTGTTTGTGTATGATACTAGATTGGGGCCGTCCATTGGCCGAATTATTTATATAAATTGGATAAATGATAATATTAATTGCTCAAACCAAGTTATTTTTTATTTGGTATCATGAATGAATCTAAATTATTCAATTATTAAAATTAAAAAAATTCATGCAAGGTAATTGATTCCTAAAAAAGATTAATAAAGTGCACTTGAAATATACAACTCTTTTTTTTTTTACAAAAGATAATCATATATTGATATCAAAACATAGATAGTTACACCCTGGAACCAAGCCAGGCCCGAAAATCAAAGGAACGACCCATAGTCGGGTACAAAGAGAGGGCTTTTCTAGCCACCATATGGGCTACCCTATTACTACGCCGACCTATAAACCGCACACTAAACCCAAGGCTGCTAACAAAATAATGTAAAACTTTCTCCAAGACAACACCCATCCGATTGTCTCTAGCATCCTTGCAATTGATTTTATCAATGATGATCTTGGCATCCCCTTCGAAGCGCATCCCCGTAAAGCCATGACCCACACACCAAGCACTGGCCTCCCGAAGCACAAGCAACTCCACGACCACAGGGTCATCAATCCCCTGAAACTGAATCCCGTGAGCCATAAAAACATCTCCGAGGGAGACAGAAAAACCATGCCACCTGCAGAATGCGATCCCTTCCTAGTAGCCCCGTCCCACTGGCAAGTAAACCCAGCATCTCCTCCTAGTTCTCAACAATGTCATAATCCATCACCGAATCCACTATCCCCACCATTAGCATACTCTTTATTTTCTCACGCATTTTCAGAAATAAAAGTTTAATGGTACAAAATTTTACATGTGTGAAACATTATTTTCAATGTGTTAAATTTACCTTGTCCATGTCATGAACTTTGTCTGTAATTACCCTTCTTTAGCCTTCCTTATATTTAAAACTATATACTCGCTTAAGAAGTTCACAATATTGTAATTGATGTGAAATTTGCAAATTCGACTTCATTCCTTTAGTTTATCGAAGATGAGAAGGTAACGTCCTCTCATACTATTCAAATAATTTCTCATGCATTCCCAAAAAGCTCTCTCTAGCGAACCGGAACAATAAAGTTAGATTCATAAATTTTGTCCATAGTTGATAGTGAATTTATAAAATGGAAGCAATCGAGATATACTATTTATTCGACAACATAATGCTTTAGCGGGTATGATTTTTTTCCTCGATGAATGAATTTGAATTTAAGAATAATGAAAGAGTAAAGGTAAATTGTTACCAAGCCTCTGTCGTCTTTAATCTTAATGTATAATTCTTGTAAAAGTATTGTGTGAGAGAACCTCTTATAATAGTAATGTGAACAACTCTTTCGACTTCTCTTGTATTTTATTGAAAGCAAAAATCTAATGGTGAAATATTTGCAAATATGAAATGCATTTCTAGTGCAAATAAAATTTGCCATATCTTCAAAACTGTGTACTTAAAGGGTCGATGATGTTGTAAATAGTGTGTTTAATGTCGCACTTCAACTCCATTACCTCAATTTATAGGAGGTAAAATGATAGAGGTCTTTTCATCTCTCGCATGCTTGGAATAGTTTCACAACTGATGTTCCAAAAATTCTAACTTCCTTGTGATCCCGTAGAACAAAATTAGACTAAGCGATTTTGTCCACAATATGGAGTTGAATTCTAAATTTGTAAAATGCAGAAGAATAAAAATGAGATTCACTATGTAGTAAGCTTTTTTTAATGTTTTTGTGGGTATGATATTTTATTTTTCTTAAGTGAATGAGTTGAAAATAGTGAAAGAGTAGAGATTGATTATTTTGAAGTGTGTGAATGACATTTAAAATTGAACTATGTAGTTATCTTGCCATCGAATAACCTTCATAATTTTGAAATTGTTAGAATTTTTATTGTGTCTTACGTACAGATGGGAATGATGGTATTTCCAAATTCAAGTTTTTTTCATTCATAAATAAAAAATAATTATATTTTTAAAATAAAAATATATCCAAATTTAATTAAAAATCCTATCCAACAATTCTACTAACAGTTAGAAATAAAACTTTACTGATATCTAACAAATCTACTAACAATTTTTTTTATAAGGGAACAAATCTACTAACGATTAGAACTTTAAATATTTGTTTGTCACTAAAACTAAAATTTACGTTGACATGAAACCCACATGATAAAACATCATGGCTAGAAACAGAAGGTTATCCAACAAATCTACTAACAATTAAAACTTTAAAAATGTAACTAAAACTACAATTTACATTAGCTTTGTTTTAAAAGACCAATATGATTGGATTTTGTTGATTTTTTTTAATGTGTTTAAACACAAAGAGTGGCCAAGTAATAAATTTAGCCCAAGCCCATATATCCTCCCAAGAAGCAAACTCAAGCAACGGAAGCTGGGATTGCAAAGTGAAAAAAAAAATGCTTTTAATTCAAAACTAGCACAGGGGTCGGCTCGTTGGCCAGCTAGCTGTTTTAATTGTA